GTGCACAGAAAAGAATTTAAAGGAGCACTCCACAGACGGCAGCTCCCCAGTGACCTGCCACTGTGCACAGGATGTCTCTGCTCTTGCACATGTTGTCTTCCCATGCGCAAGGCTGTTGGGTCTGGGGATCAGTTGCCATGGCTAAAGAACAGGAGTGAGGAGTTGGCTTCACCCCTTTCTTCTGGGTCTCTTGGAGGCATCTGACTGGCTGCAGTTAGATACAAAAATGGCCATAATGGCTATGTATGTTACCTTCAGGATCAAAGGCTGTATGCCATGGAATACCAGCTGATGGAGAGCAAGAGAAAGCGCTGTTGCTTTCATGCCCTACTTTTGGGCTTTCCGGAGGCATCTGATTGGCCGTTGCCCAAAACAGGATGCTGTACTTGGGCCACATTCTCACCATGCAGTTTATCTCTATGATACCACTTTAAATTGTCATTGATTCCCCCAAATAATTATGCATGCTGTAGTTTATTAAAGGTGCTGAGCGTCATCAGGGGACCCCCATTCCCCTCACGGAGCTTCAATTCCCAGAGTGGTTTAACAGTCAATCCCTCTTCACAGAGAACTCTGGTAATTGTAGGGAATAGTGGCCTTTTGACAACTCTCCGCACCTATGAAAAACTACAGCTCCCAAAATTCTATGGCTATTTAAAGTGGTGTAATAGCACATTAAATGTATGTTGTGAATGGGGCCTTCGATCAGTCTTTGATCTGAGCCAGCAGGGCTCTTGTACAGGTTGAATCCTCCCACTCCTCGTGTGCGCAAGGCCACCTTGGGAATTTTGCTGAAGCTGCTCTGAGCCCAGAAACTCTACAGCCATGGTCTCCCCTCCCTTCACCTCACCTCTGCCCTGATAAGCTTCAGCACATGGGGACCTTTGCCTCCCTGTCCACCCCAGTGCCTTTGATGTGTTTTGGTGGAACGAGCAGTCTGATTCCAAGGCCTTGTTTCCCACGCAAGGAGTTGGATCTGGACCCTCGCCAAGCCTCCCTCCTGCGCCTCTGTCCGTCGCTCCCTCGGAACACCTCGACTGCAGGGCTTTGGGGAGGGAGGGAAAGAGGGCGAAATGCAATGCCGACCCCTTTCTCCCCTTTCAGATGTACAAAGGGGAACTGCTGGGAGTCTCCGTTCAACATCCATCTGAGTATTGCTTAGCTGCCATCTTATCTGTCCGCTGAAAGATGAAGGTGCAGCTAAAACATTTTAGGCTGGTCTTCCCAGCCGATTTACATGTTATCTAACCCATTAAACCGAGAGGCTTATCGGACCATCAAGGCCATTACAGCTCAAAGCCGTCTCAACCAAGGGTCCTAATGAAGCAAAATAAGAGGCTCCCTTTTTGATGGAGGGATGCCAGCAAGCTTTGATCCGTCCCCTGCCTTGCAGCTCCTTGCAAAGTAACCAAAGAGGGGCCACAGTGGGCTGAGGTGATGCCAGGAAGGGTTGGATCTGTCCATTTTGGTTTCTTTCAGTTCCCTGTTTCTTCCCATCTTAAGTTCAGTCCTCCACATTTCTGCAGCACCTCGCAGTTTCTAAAGGTCCTCATAAAAATTCATCAGTATTTTAGTGTAATTTCTTCTTTGCATTTTTGCCTAACATGCACACATTTTTGCAAAGCAATTTTCCCTAATATAATGCATTTTGGAATATTATATTTACTGATACAGGCAGTTTTATAATGCTCTACTCTAGCGCATGCATTTTTCTACACGTTACTTGGCTGGAGAACTGCACTGCAATATTCGGAGAAGAGCAAATTTTGAAAGATGGCTGTGCTTCGGTTCTTGTATTGTTTTGGACATTACAAACCTGGTAGTTTCACCTTTTAATGCAAACTGAACTGAATTCCCCCCCACCCATCCCTACATGATGCCCAGACAGGGAAAATCCAGTGCTTTCTGAGTCATCTTACAAAGGTTGCTACAAACACAAATTCTTACCTTTAACCACTGTTGTTGTTGTTAAAAGCACATTGATGGATTTTGTGTAACTCAAAAGCTCATCAGGCAGTGTAGAGTGCCATAATGTTGACATTCTAGAAAAGTTAAGTAATTTAGAAGGTCCCAAGTGAAATCACTGGTATATCAGGTAAGAGCTGGGACAGACTCCTTGCCTGAAACCCTGGAGAGTTGTTGCTGCTAGTCAGTGTAGATAAATTAGAGGGATCCTATGGTCCTGACGTTCTCCCAAGTTCCTATTAAATCAGCTATTTATCCTGAAGAGTTAAATAGCTGGCTTACTGGGCTGCACACCCTGGACACCCAAGTGGACAGAGATGCCACTCACAAAACAGACAGGTCCTTGAGGAAGTAAAAGGTGACTTGCCAAGTACCTCTGACTTTTGTGGAAAATACACGCTAAATATTTTGTTGAAAACCCTTTAGGATACACCCAACAGTTGCTTGATGCTGCCAGAGCAACCTGGAAATCTTACCTTAAGCAGATGCGGCCATCTTGGACGTGGCTGTTGAGGTGCAACTTTCACAGGGGGACCCCATATTTAGCTGAAGCACCAATTCCACCTTTGAACTGAGGCAAAAGCAAACTGTTCATCAAAAGCTCTGGCTTCAGAATGTGGGCAGCTAATCGCAGTAGAAGGCCACAGGTCGAAGCTGGGGGGGGGGAATTCTCGGAAGCAACAGGCAAGGGACAGGTGAATATCTGGAAGAAGAGCTGCTCTGGTTCTTGTTCAGTAGGTCATTGGCAACAGTGATGTAGCGGTCAGTGGTCATCATGGTGGCTGGCATAACCACACTCCCTAAACTATAGGCAGCTCTGCCAATCCTATATGTGCTCATAATCTCCTTATGTGCTTATTTGGAAAGTATAAAGGGATTCCTTACGCACAGTGGACATGCGTTTGTGGTACTAGGGAGGTGGAAGACGTGGTGCATTCTCTTTTGCACTTTCCCTCGTATAGAGATCTCAGAGCTCATTTCTGGAGGAGACCTTTGGAGAGCAAGAGCTGGCTGGGCCCTGCCTGATATTATTTGCAATCTGTTGGCAGAGCACAGTAAAACCATTGCAAACCTGGTGGCCACCTCTGCAGTAGCAGCTTAAAAAAAATCCTTAGCGTTCCTCTTTAACCAGGCCTTTGGCTGATTGACATCCAATGCCCTTTTAAAATTAAAAAAAGTTTGGGGGAGGGGTTGTTGGGTTGTTTTTGTTATGTATTTTGTGTTGTTATATTGTGTTTTTATATTGTAACCGCCCTGAGACCTGGGGTATAGGGTGGTGTACAAATTTAATAAATAATAATGACAACAATAATAAAGGCTTTTGTCGTGGAATGCAAAAAGGGCTATCCACAATAGTATTGTGACATTGTTGTTCATCTTGGTTTGTGCTGATAATTATTAGTGTCAGTTATTATTAGTGCTGTGCTTTGTCCTTGTTTCTCTGGTGTTTGCAATTGTGCCTCACATAAGTACCATATATCAATGCAAATTTTTTTAAATTAAATTTTGAATTATAACAAATAAAGAACATAGCAAGTAAAATATCAGAAGTCAGTGAAATCGTATACAGCATAAAGTCCAGCATGAAGAAGAAGAAGGTTACAGAGTTTACTATGCAAACAATAAACCCACCAAAGTAAAACCTCACAAGATCCACACCTTTGTATAGGCAGGCGAGACTGCCCAGCTATGAGCTTCATCATTTGTAAATGAAGTCATGCTATATTGCAAAAATAAATAAATAGGGGGGGTGTCTCTTGTACTATGTTCTTCAGCAACTTTTAATTCATAGGAAATGTTTTATAGAAGAGCATTTGCCCTTCTAGATCTTTGATCTGTAGAACTGCCACTGTTACAGGTGACACATGATACCCATTCCACATCTGTAAGAAAATGATATTTTAGTGTGGTGGCACTTTGGAATTCCCTGCCTGTTGATACAACGAAGCAGGTGCCTTCGTTGTATTCTTTTGGCCACCTACTAAAAGCATTTTTCTTTAGACAAGTCTGCCCAGATACATAGAATCTTATGTGCTTTTAGTTTATTGCTACTTTTACTTATCTCAGTGTTTTACTTGTCTTTACTACATATGTTATTGTTTAATTATTTTTGTAAACCACTTTGATGGCTTGTTTGTTTTTACAATCAAGCGGTATATAAATTGTATGAAATAAATAAATAACATTTGCAAATAACATTTCCTGCCCCTAGTGGCCTCGGGGCTTGCTCAAGTGGAGACAGGAGGCTTTCCGCCCCACCCCCACCCCCCTGGCTGAGCAGCAGGCTAGGACCAGCTGTAATGGCCACAGCCTGTGAGGCACTGGGGTGAAAGCACAATGAGAACTGTGGCAGCTTCACTCGGCATCTCGCCAGCTTGGGCCAATGCAGCTTTTCCCAACATTGTGGTGTATCGTCAAACTGCGTTGTTTGGCTGGCGTTGTTGAAAGCCCTAAGACATATATACCTTCACTCTGCAGAAAGCAACAGTGCATAATATAATTCCAATTTATTATGATGAGCCAACAGCCACAGGAAATATGTTTGTAGAATTAATTCAACTTATTAAGCATATTGAACTTTAAGGAAAGATCTTCCCCCAACCTTTGTCTTTTAATCAGGAAATGTGAACAATTTTGCAAAAGAAGTGCTTCTGCTTCAACTGCTAATGTGAAGTAGGAACCTCATTAAAGAATAAGAAATAGTACCTAGCCTCTGCTCAGTTATTTTGCTCATTCACCGAGGTCTTCCATGCTTTTACAAGCAAATTTGAAAACCTCATTTTCACCTGCCCAAACAAGAAGGGTCCATCTGTCACCCTGGTGTGCAACCAGATGGCACCGTCTCTCCCACTCCATTGGTTGATAGATGTTATGGGAACATTGTAATCTGGCCATTTCTGTGGTTTTAAGAAAGGTTGAAGCCCACACCACCTAGTAGGGAAGTCTCTCCTTACTGAAGAAGCTTCCTTGGAAAGTTTATGTATAATCTCATCTCAGTGATTTCTGCTTCCCTTTTTTTCCTCCTGTCCCATCAGGTGAACTGGAGCTGATGACATCAGAGGGCGAGAGCAAAGTGCGTGCCAGGCAGAACGTGCCTGAGGGATTGTCCTGGGGTCCGTACCAGGGGAATATCCACAGTGAGCCTGCTTCTCCAGGGAACAGTGAGCCAGTAAGTAAAGCAGTCACTAAGTCAGCAGAAATGAAAGCGAGCACCCCTCTCCTCTGCCCTTTGGTGGGTGGCATCGTTTTTATCCCACCTTCCCTCCAAGGAAATCAAGGCAGTCCATGGTACTCCAGTTTTATCCTTGCAGAAACCCTGCGAGTTAAGAGACGGGCAGTTGTAGAGCACCTGCCTTGAATGCAGGAGGTCCCAGGTTCAATCGTCTGCATCTACAGGTGCCACTGCCAGTCAGTGCAGGCAGTACTAAGTTCCATGGACTCTTAGTCTGGCACTCTGGCCACTGCACCATCCTGGCATTGGAGCTGAGCTTGCACCAGATGGCATTCCTAGCCTGGCTGTCATTTCAGACCTTCCTGCACTTTTAAGGCAGTCCCTTTCACTTCCTGGGACTTAAAAAATCTATGTATGTTGTCCAGTACAGGTGTAAGCATGGATATCTCAGTTGGTTAGAGTGTGGTGCTGATAATGCCAAGGCTGCAGGTTCAATCCTTGTATGTTACAGCTCTATATTCCTGCATTGCAGGGAGCTTGACTACATGATCCTCAGGGTACATTCCAACTCTACGACTCTATAATTTTATGATTCTAAGCCAATGTGGTTCTCTCCAGATGCCTTGGGACTACAAATCCCATCAGCCCCAGTCAGCCTGGTCAGTCATCGTGGATGATGGGAGTTGTAGTCCAAGGCATCTGGGGGACACCGTCTTGGCTAGCCCAGACCTTGCAGCATGTCTCAGGCACCTCCACAGGTAATAAGTGGTGGTCATCATAACCACACCCCAAGGCAATGCTTCTGATTCTTCCTGTTTCTCACTTACAAGCAGCATCCTTTTAGCACAGGCCAAGCTACGATTCTGTGTTTAGCACCGCACACAAAGTGCCCGTCAGCAGGATGCAGCTTCTCCCATGCAGCTAATCTCATTAGCGCGGCTCATGGCAGGGCTATATCCCATCAGCATCAGGTTCTTAAAAGCTCCTTTCTGCACAGGCCTGTGGTATGTTTTTGAAATCCCGGCTGGAAGGCCTTTACCCTGCTGGGTTTAATTTCTGGTTTCCCCAGTTGTCTTGCCGTTCTGTCTCGGAACTGGTGCTGCTTCGCTTATTCATCAGCGATCTGGAGCTGGGCTGAGCAGGGAGGTGGCCAAGTTGCAGGTGACCCCAAATTGTTCAGGAGGCCAATGTACCGAGCAAGGCTGTGAGAAGCTTCAAAAGGATCTCTCTAAGCCCTGTAATGAGCAGGCAACAAAGTAGTAAATGAGGCCCAATGTCAATCAAGTAGGAGCAAGGCTCATTGCAACCAAAAATAATCCCATGTGTATCCCACTTTCATGGATGGCAAATTGCAGAGACTGTAATTCCCCCAGAACAATTTTTTTCCACACCAGTGCTTCAGCTTGGAACATAATACAAGCGCCTTTGAGGATGCACAGAGTGCTTTCCTTTTGCTGCTGAATACCAGCCAGCTGCTGTATTGGAGGTGGCTAGCCAGATCTTGTTGGACTTCAACTCCCAGCTGCCCCAGCCAACATGGCAAGTAGCCCAGGGCATGATGGGAATTGTAGTTCCGCAACATCTGGAGGGCCACAGCTTCCACACCTCCATCTCATTTGGGTCTTCATTTCTCCGAGAGCAGGGGTTTGCTGGCTGACCCCACTTCCCTCATTGTGTTCAAGTGTTCAGCCCCACCACCCTCCACACAGGTGTCTGCATTGGGGAGCTTCCTGGCTGGCCAGGAAAGAAGTATTGGGGGCATTGTGGACAGCTCCCAATGGTGACAATAGAAATGGGAAATTCCACGTTAGTGATGGTTAAGGAAATGGATTGAAAGTAAAACAGCAAGTATTACAATGAAGACAGGATATAAATCTTAAAGTGGACCTGCCTTTGGAACAACTGGGCCCCATCTGCACCGTACATTTGGAGCAGTATCATACCACTTTAAACAGTCACAGATTTCTCCCAAAGAATCCTGGGAACTGTAGTTTGTTAAGGGTGCTGAGAGTGACCCCTTTTCCTCTCACAGAGCCACAGTTCCCAAAGTTCCTTGGGAAGAGGGATTGGTGGTTAAAGCACCCTGGGCGTTGCAGCTTCGTGATGGGAATGGGAGTTGTCCACAAGGCATCGCTTCCATAAGCATCCCAGGTCACGATGCTGGGTAAGGCCCCTCTCAGCCTGAAGCCTTCATGGAAAGCTGCTGCTAGTGTGTGTAGGCATCCCTAAAGTAGCTGGACTGGTGGTCTATCACAGAAGAAGGCATCATAATATGTTGTTTGTGCATCTTTGGCTTCTGTCCGTTTAGTTTGTTCCATTTGTGCTCCTCTTGGGTGTCCAAACCTGGGTTTCGTGTTGACTTACAAACCCAGTTTCTCATCCTCACAACCTCTTTTGGCCCTGCTTCCTTTTCCTCTTAAGCTTCTCAAGTTTTGGCAGAAGAGGAGAAGGACGTCAGAATCAAGATTGTTTTGTGGGGTTGTGTGTGTGCATGAGTATCTCATTTTGTGCAACAAGTACACGTCTGATTCCAATAAAAATATTGCAAAACCTTTTAGAACAAATGATAAGAATAATATAGCAATGTGCATGCCTCCAAAAAAACAGCTATGGACATGATTTATAACTAGGCTCAGGGAGTTCTGAAATGACTTGGAATTCAGAAAAGGGGAAGGGGGTTGGAAACCCAAAGGATTCACCCTTCCTCCTACAAGAGAGGAGTTGGGCACTGGAGAGGAGCAGCTGTTTGGCCCCTTCCACCCCCTCTCTGCCCCCCACTGGAGGAGGCTGGAAGAGCAGAATGGGAGCAGGTTGGTGCTAACTTTCTTCGAAGGATCTTGTTCCATAGCTCTGGGTTTTTCTGTCTGAGCCCTGACTGTATTATTGCCATTGCTGCTGTTAGATTTATTACCTGCCTTCAGCAGAAGGAACCAGGGCAGGTCATAGCAATGTAAAAATACAACAGTCAAAGCAGTTTGAAACAAATTACAATCACAACTAGAGTGGGTCCTAAAAATAGACATCTCAAGTAGAGGAGGTGGACACTGTCAATGGCTACTAGCCATGATGGTGATGCTGTACCAGCCTGGTCCAAGGCAGCTATGTTTATGTATACTAGCTGCTGGAAACCACAGGAGGGGAGAGTGCAGTAGTGCTCAGGTCCTGCGTGAGGGTTTTCCACAATCTTCTGGTTGGCCACCATGAGACCCGGATGCTCAGCTAGGCGGGACCTTTTCAGCCTGATGCCCAAAAGTCAGGGCAATGAGGTGCATCTTCAGCATATACTGAAAGTCACACTTCTGTGGGGGAAGGAATTTCCAACTTGGGGGGATGCCTGGCACCCCCACACCCACAATGGTTCATGCCCTGCTCTATAGGTGGTTAGGCTGCCCCCAAGTGCTATCCAAGGGACCTTGGCCTGGGCAAGACCCGATCTCTGCTGGTGGGAAAAGGAGGAGGAGGCGGTGGCTCTTTTGGGATTTCTTCCAACTCGTTTTTTATGGGGCTTTGTGAAGGATATGGGACAGAAAGCCCTGGCCTCTCCTCTCCCTTCTCTTTCTCTTTCTCTCTCTCTCTCCCCCCCCCAGCTCAAGCCTCCCCGTTTATCTTTTTTTTTTGCCAAATTAAATCCTTGATTAACCCTTATCTTGCCAGTTTGGCGGCTATCTCTCCTGTGGCGCCGTATGTCCAGACAACCGGTACGGGATGATTGATTTCTTAAAGATATGCCGCTGCTTTTTCTGATACTTCATTTATTGTCTAAATATTTTTGCTCCCATTTCAGCAGCTTCCCTTATCAAGTCGTGTTGATGATTCCCAGCCCTGCCCTCTCTCTCTCTCTCCTCTCATCCTCCCCCCCCCGCCCCAGTTTCTTCCTTTTCTTTATATTTTCAGTTGCCTCCCTTCTCTGTTGTTGTTTTTTTAAACCCAGAAGACAGAGGAAAGGGTTGTTGCTCTCTATGGCCGAAAGTGACTATCAGTCTCTTTTCTTGCCTGGGGAGGGGGAGATTGGGGAAGCACGGAAAAATGGGTCTCCCAACTCTATCTTTTCTCCAGTAACTGGTATGAAAAATCCTTAGTCTATGATGGCCATTAGGGAAGGGAAAGCAGGAAGCTGCCTTATATCATCAGACTATTGGTTCATCTAAAATAGTATAGTTGTCTCTGACTGGCAGCAGCTCTCCAGGGTCCCAGGCAGAGAAACATTTCCCATCTTCTGCTGGCTGACCCTCTTAACTTGAAAGTGCCAGGATTAAATCTGTTCAATATGTTGATTATTATATTTATTTTCCACCCTTCACCAGAAGGCCCCAGGTTGGGTTACAGCAATATAAAATGCAGTATTCAAAACAGTTTAAAACAGCTCACAATCACAGCTGCAGTGAGTCCTAATAGAGACAAAAAAAGAAGCGGAGGGGTGGTGGTGCTGCCTTTGGACCCTGCTTGTGGGAGCAGCCAGGAGGCACATTACGGGAATCCGGGTTGCTGGACTAGATAGATCTTTGAACTGATACAGCTGCCCTCTCCTCACGCTCCCATGCCATTGATGGGCAGCAGAACTGAGTCTGCCAGGCCCTACTAGGAATGAGGGAGGAATCTGCATTTTGCAACAGACCAACCTGACCTGATGGCTCCAACTCTGCTTGTGGATCAGCTCCCAGTTGGACGGTGGATTTTGCAATGCATTTGCAAACTGTAAAAAGTGCACACCAAAATCCATATGTTGAGTTAACGGTGCATATAAAACGCGTGTTTTGAGGTGAATGCATTGAAGAGTGTGTGTTTACATTTAAAAGTGCACACATGACACATGGGACAGGCTCACGACTGAGTGGCAACGAGGCTGAAACAAGATGGAATTAACTGCTCAGCCCATCCGTAGTCTTTGTCCATCCAAATGCAGCTTTGTAAAAAAATATGCTGTGTCCAGCTCCATGCTACAATGCCATACGCATATAGGAAGCTGCTGTGTCAAATCCATTGGTCCACCTGGCTCA